AATCCACGCTGCTCGTATCGGTTCGCTGCCACGTGCAGTCCCCGCTTTTGGACCCAGCGCAACATCGAGACGCGTCGTCAGCAAGAGCAGTCCACCGCACCCCACACGACGTACACTTTACTCCAGCATCAGCACACGAACCACGGCTGCTCGGCGCTGCGACGCGACTCTACTTACTATCAAACCAATACAACGTTTGAATCGGTCCAGTTTTGGTGTTGCAAGCTATACTTTGGACATTGATCCACTGTGCATATATCATGGTGTTTCTTGCGTAGTGCCTCACGAAGTCACCACTTCAGAAATAGGGTACGTCGCAAGAGCTGTGTCCGAGGTACCAGTACTGACATCACTTTTGTAGCCGCCAAAAGTCACAACCGAGCTTGGCGTACCCTTCGTCTCGTCACAAGGTGCGTTCGATCAGCTTTGCTGCAGCCTGGGCTCCTTTAAGACTCTAGTACGTGTGTGTTTCTCTGTTGTCCTTGAAACGTTTGTGTTGGTTAACATGCTACTCCATCGAGCTCCATGTTTCTGCATGCGGTATAGAGTATGTAGACTTGGACAAACTCCATGATTCATTACGACATAGCCTTGAAGTCTATGACTAACTTTCGCCCCCAGCGATCGGTTTCTATGCGAGCTTGCGCCGCCAGCTCTGGGAACACGCCTTGCGGGTAGCTCAGGACGTTCTTGACGGTCACTGTGACGTTCGGGGACGAGCCGACGGCGGTGAAAAGTGCGCGCGTTTCTTCGAGGTCCAGCGCTCGCTTGGTGACGGCCAACGACACCTCAAGGCGTTTCTGGTTGTCACGCTTTGCCGTCATTGCGTGGGCTACGAGCAAGAGCTCTTGCTTGCTCAGAGGAGCAAAACACAAACTGAGCACTTCCAGACCTCGGGCGAGCCATTCTGGCAAAGCGCGCGCGATCGACTCGATGCCACGTTCGTCCACGGACTTGGTCCACGTCTGGAAGTTGGTGAGGACTCGCGACGTGCTCAGCCACGCAACGACGCTAGGCATGTCGGAGGCGGGAATTTCGGAAATGACAGCGTAGTGCAGGTCGGGACAGCGGCCGGCAGCGAGATGCCGGGGATCCAGCTTGTCGTCCGGGACACTGAGGATGCGAAGAGCACGAAAGCGCGAGATGTCGACGCTCTGCGAGACGCGTAGGTTGACGACTCGAGCAGGGTCCAGCTTGTCCAGAAGCGATTGGACATTCGCCTCAGGGGCCGTGCTAGACGAGTGGAACGTCTTGATGCTATGTAGATCGCCGTCCAAGGCAGCCAGAGCCGCGTGAACGTCGTCGACACCATTGAGGATGAGAGTCCTCAGCGACGGCGATGCGAGGAGTGCGCGTGCGAGCGGCATGCAATCGTCTACCGGACCGGAGCTGTAGCGCGTCAATTCGAAGCTGAGCGAGCGCAACGGAAACGCTGGTCGCGTGAGCGCCGACATCCAGAGCGCTGCGTTCGCTGGATCGGACAAGCGGACCATGGCGCTCTCGATGTAGTGGCACAAGTCAAGTAGCTCGTGCACGTGAGCTGAGAACTCTGCATCCTTCGTCGCGACCGAGACGTCCCGGACGCGGTCACCCCAAACACGCGCAAACGCCAGTGCCGTATCATTGCGCGACCTCAACGACAGCCGGACGCGCGACGGCCGTGGCAGTGGCGCCGCCAACCATCGAAGATTGGTGGCAGGCCCCACGGACACGTACGGAAAGGCGGGCAGCGCAGCGATGCCGAGGTCAATGACCAGCACAGGAAGGTTTTCGAGATACAAGCACGGCCAGTGGTGCGTGAGGTCCATCGACTGGCTGAGCGAGAGCAGCGCGTGAAGGGCCGGCGGTAGGTCGGGCAGTGCCGACACTAAGGCGACGACGTCCTTGAGCTCAGAGAGCAGGTGCACGATGTCGAGCAGCATGGTGCTCAGTGTGTCGATGGCTTGGCGCATCCAGATGGCGAATTGTATTGCAGAGTATCAGGACCCAGTGCTCCAGTTCTGGTGACCATCAATCACCTTTTGCGAAGTGAATGACGGTCATCTGCGTGGTGGATACCGGTAGATGATGGAATCGAGTTTCGCGGACCGTAAACGCGCTTGATGTGCCGAAGCGACCGGACTCTACAGCGTGTCGACGACTCTGGTACCGCCACGTGGCTGGATTGCCTGGGCGCTACAGCGGTGGGTCCTTCTCACAGTGTCCTCGTAAGATTGGTGGGCATTCCATACCATCCCAAGTGTCTTTTCATCGACACGGTTGTTTGTAGCGTGTAAATATATATATTCGTCAAGTGTGGCTCTACGCGTGGCGCTTGCGAAACTCGACAAAGTCGTCGTTGCGCGTGATTGGGTTGAGTTTCAAATGGGCCATGTCGATGCGGTGCGACCGGAACGAAGCGCCTTCGTCACTCGACCGGTGGAAGATCGCGCCGCGCTTCTCCTTGGAGAAGGTCACGTCCGGGCTGTTGGAGAGGTACCGGAGACCGGCAAAGGTTGACATGCCCGTGGCAAACGTGATGATGTCGATGATCGGGTACGTCGCGGGGTCCGAGAACCACGTCTTGATGACGGACTGGGTCGCGCGGGCAGTGGTCGAGGCCATGGTAGTTCTTGGAGGTGGTGGTAGTTGGTGGGAAGCAAGCAAGTGCTGGAATGAGCTTTGTATGGCTCCCGCGCCAAAAGAAGATCGCAACACCAAAGAAACGCGATTTGCGGGAGCCTTGACACACCGAGGACAACGTCGATCCGGATATGCAAGGCCATCTCGATACAAATTCAGCGAGTATCAGGATACGCTGTGAAACGCGCGTGTCAATTTTACGGTTTTTCTCTGATATATTGCGTGTTTTTAGACGTCTTAGATGAGAAAAGTTATGTCGGAATCTCAGTTGCTGAACGGCGGAAAAGCGAAACCAACCAAAGTCGTCGATTCATAGACATGCATTGGGTGAAGGCACGAAGCACTTGCTGCTCATTACTTATGCATTTCTTCGAGCTCGAGCCACTGCTCTTCGGTGTAGTCGCTCTTGTAGGGCTTTAGACGCTGGAAGTACTCGTCGTTGCGTTTAAACTCGACGAGCGTGTTGTCCTTGAGGGTACTCTTCTTATCCTTGGACTTGAGGACCGCCCCGGGCTTGCAAACCCAAGAGATCTAATACATATGAACATCAAGTATAATGGCTCTGCCACATACCGAGATCTGGGCTGCTGACAGCTTGGATTCCGTAAAACATGGACGGTAGATGTTCGTCGGACCATGAAGACCCCAGTATTTGGTCTCTAGTGCCATGATTTCGAGCACTAGACAAAACACGTGAAGGGCGAGCGGTGACAGCATGTACATACGCGCAAGATCGTGAATCTTGACGCGTAATGCGGCACGGCTGATGAAGCCCTTGACCGATTTGAAGTCCTTCATCGAACTCTCGTCTGTGACCAGGTGATAGAGTACTACCAACTAATCATGAAACCATGAAACAATCAATTGAGATACCTTCGTCGAGGTTGCCCAACAGGTGGAGGCCACAGTCGATCCCGCCGGTTTGCTTCTTGACATTGACGCTCTTTACCTTGAAATTCGCCTGGTGACCTTGCGTGCAGCAGCGACGGAAGCCGTCGTTGGTGTTGCCAGGCATGGAATCAAGGATGTAGGCAATCCCGTCTTCAACGACCTCGAGCCAAAAGTGAAATCTAAGGGAAAATGAGTTTCGCGGCTGAGAGATTAATAACGTACCCTGCGCAAAAGAGCAGAACGGTGACCTTTGCGACCATGTCCACCTTCTTGGAGCTACCCGTAGCCGTGGTGTTGAGAAGCTGGATCGCCGAAACGTCATATTTGCGTGCAATGGCCAAGGCACCGAAATCGACGACTTACGTGGTCAGCATCTTGCTGGTGTCGAGGAGATCCGCGAAGTGCTTTTGGACAAGAGAAACTCCACCCACCGACACACTGGAACCAGGCTGCCGATGGTTCATCGCTTCGATGTCCATCGCTTCATCGTCCTCGGGTTCTGGGACGCGTCTTCGCCTTTTGGGCTCTTCTGGCGCTTCAGACGGTCGATCGGTGTCGCAGCGGTCGCCTTGCGCTTCGATGCCGACTCGGGGCGTTCTTCGAGCGCCTTGCGCTTCAAAACCCGCTTGGGGGGTCCGTTGGGGAACATCCACTTGCAGTCGGCCGACTTCAGCCAAGCCGCGTATAGGGCAGCAATCTCGTCGTGGTGCACGGCTGTGTAGAAGTAATCGGGAGTCTTGGTGTTGCTTTCGTCGTCCTCTTCACCATACCACAGATGGAACTTCTTCACCTTGACGACCTTCTCGAACCAGGTGTGTGCACCTCGCTTGCGCATCTTGTACTTGCGTAGGAGATCGCCAACCTTGAGGCGGTCTTCGCTTTTGCAGTACCATCCCGTGGAGACGACGGCTGTTTTCCCCTTGCAGGTTGACATCCGACCTTTTGCGACTTCGCTGATCTCGTTGTCGGGCGTGCCGATGGCGATGTAGAGAGCCTCCATGCCCGTCCACGCCGACAAGACCTTGAGTATCGCGTCCGGAGCGACGACCTTCTCGGCCATGGTAATGAACCGGAGCACGTCGCCGGAGCGTAGCCCCAATTCCTGCGCTTGGGGACCGTCGACGTCCGTAAAGACAAGCACTGCGTCGCGGATGACGAGAGTGAACGCCAGCTCGTCGCCCCACTGGAATCGGTTGCCGTTGTTGACAACAGCGCATGTCGACTCCTTCAGCCAAAGAAAGCGCCGGTACTTCAGTTCGTATTCTTCTTCGGGCCTTCCTTCTTGCCCTTGCGCTTGCTGGCGTCCTTGTCCTCGTCGGGGCCCTTGGGGCTGTCAGGCAGACGAGGCTTTTTGGCACGTATCCTGTACGGATCCTTCGGGTGGCGCACCATGGTGCGAGCGTTCTCGATGGAAAATTAAAATTCGGTCGTTCTTCCTTGCATTCCGACATGCGGCAGTTGGCATAAGCCCTTTCCCAAGTCTATAGTTATGTCGGAATCTTAATTGGGAAACGTTATTTCGGAACGGTGGTCGAGAGCGTCACGCTGGCGGCGCAAGCCCGCATAGAAACCGATCGCTGGGGGCGAAAGTTAGTCATAGACTTCAAGGCTATGTCGTAATGAATCATGGAGTTTGTCCAAGTCTACATACTCTATACCGCATGCAGAAACATGGAGCTCGATGGAGTAGCATGTTAATCAACACAAACGATTCAAGGACAACAGAGAAACACGTACTAGAGTCTTAAAGGAGCCCAGGCTGCAGCAAGGCTGATCGAACGCACCTTGTGACGAGACGCCAAGCTCGGTTGTGACTTTTGGCCGCTACAAAAGTGATGTCAGTGCGGGTACCTCGGACACAGCTCTTGCGACGTACCCTATTTCTGAAGTGGTGGCTTCGTGAGGCACTACGCAAGAAACACCATGATATATGCACAGTGGATCAATGTCCAAAGTATAGCTTGCAACACCAAAACTGGACCGATTCAAACGATTGTCTTGGTTTGAAAGTAAGTAGAGTCGCGTCGCAGCGCCGAGCAGCCGTGGTTCGTGTGCTGATGCTGGAGTAAAGTGTCGTACGTCGTGTGAGGTGGCGGTGGACTGCTCTTGCTGACGACGCGTCTCGATGTTGCGCTGGGTCCGAAAGCGGGGGACTGCACGTGGCAGCGAGCCGATACGAGTAGCGTGGATTCCATGAGTATGTGTCGTTGGTGGATCGGGGTGGCTGTGCGCTGCTCTGAGGTTCAAAGCGAGATGCTTGCTGGTCTTGTTCGAGATGTTGTTCGAGTTGTTGTTGAGGTGGCTGCGTGCTGTCTTGGCTGTAGAGCGCAGACAGCGGATGCCGATAGACGTACCTCGACGCACGTAGCGTCCAGGCGTGTCTGTCGGCAAGAAGAGAGGATCATGGTGGTTGGGTGGCAGCTTGCTGTCTCGACGGACAACGACGGGCGGGCATGGCAACAAACAGCGTTCAAGTCAAAAGTCGAGAGCGCGTGGTGGCTGTGAGCTGTTTTGGGTGCCGCGTGCGCCGAGGTCCGATGAGAAGGATGGCTGCAGATTGTCTTCATCGTGCGGTGGCACCGAGGCCGCAACAGACAGTCGAGGTGAGTCTTGAGTGCCGACGCCGCGGCTGGTTACCATGGCGTCCGGAGCATGGCGAGCCAAATCAAAACTGAGGTGGTGGAACACAAGACGGAGTTCTGACCATCATTAACATAGTATTGTGCTTGTTTGTAAACGATGGTTAGGGGTGTGGAAGGAGAGAAAGTATGGCACTCGCATCGAGGCCACCATCACTCACAGGACGGTCTGGCTTTGCAGTGCTTTCCACAGTCCGACGTATCGATGCTGCTTCCTGCCTTGCATTTAGTCCCATGTGTCTATACTGCAACATAGTGTATGACGCGGCATTACCAGAACGCTCCATTGGGTGCAACTATGCAATGTGGCGACCAGGTCGAATCCCAAAACCAATGCAGCACGCCAAATTTGCGCAATTCACAGAGCTCGATCTTCAGCACATCCACCATTCATCTTTGGCTAGACTTCGAAACACTCCACAAAGTTGTCCTGTGAGTGATGGTGGCCTCGATGCGGAGCGAGAGTGCACCGTGCTTTCTCTCCATCCACACCCCTAACCATCGTTTACAAACAAGCACAGTGCTACGTCAGTGATGGTCCAGCACACCGTCATGCGATTGCATCACCTCAGTTTTGATTTGGCTCGCCATGCTCCGGACGCCACGGTAACCACCCGCGGCGTCGGCACTCAAGACTCACCTCGACTGTCTGTTGCGGCCTCGGTGCCACCGCACGATGAAGACAGTCTGCAGCCATCCTCCTCATCGAACCTCGGCGGACGCGGCACCCAAAACAGCTCACAGCCACCACGCGCTCTCGACTTTTGACTTGAACGCTGTTTGTTGCCATGCCCGCCCGCCGTTGTCCGTCGAGACAGCAAGCTGCCATCCAACCACCTCACCAACAACTCGAACAAGACCATCAAGCATTTTGCTTTGAACCTCAGAGCAGCGCACAGCCACCCCGATCCACCAACGACACATACTCACGGAATCCACGCTGCTCGTATCGGCTCGCTGCCACGTGCAGTCCCCCGCTTTTGGACCCAGCGCAACATCGAGACGCGTCGTCAGCAAGAGCAGTCCACCGCCACCCCACACGACGTACTACACTTTACTCCAGCATCAGCACACGAACCACGGCTGCTCGGCGCTGCGACGCGACTCTACTTACTATCAAACCAATACAACGTTTGAATCGGTCCAGTTTCGAGTGTTCTGCATAGCATCTAAGCTCAATTTCAGTTCTCGCAGCAGCACCCGACAAAGACCTTCCACCACGCCCGTTACTCGTGCGCTCATGGCTCGATGCATCCTGCCTCCGTCTCACTGGTAGCAGTAAGACGACCTTGGATTAAACGCAGACTCGAGCGCGGTCGAATGTGCCGAAAGAATCCAAAGAATGAGCTCGTGGCCGTCCGCCGAGAGGTGGCGGGAGATGGTGTCGACATCCGGATACGACACGATTGCGACATCGTCGACATCCGGATACTACGCGCGATTGCGCGATCTGGACGTCGATCCAAGATCGCCACATTGCTGCCATCTTTCAATTTGCCATGTTTCGCAGCCTGCGCTCGTCGTCCACTTCGACGCTTCTCGGTCGTCGCGCCTTGTCAACGGCCTCGCCCTTTGCTTCGTCCAGTGCCTTTGCCGCCGACATCCAAGCCGTCCAAATGGCCGACCGCACTGAGCACATTCTGCCCGGCGGCCGGCACCTCTTTGGCCAGCTGCCCAAAGCGTTCGAAGGCGTCAAGCAGATCGGCGTCATTGGCTGGGGGTCGCAGGGTCCCGCGCAGGCCCAGAACCTCCGCGACTCGCTCGAAGGCACCGGCATCAACGTCAAGGTTGGTCTCCGCAACCACTCGAGCTCGGCCGAGAAAGCCCGCGCCGTTGGCTTCACCGAGGCATCGAATTCGCTCGGCGAAATGTACGACGTGATCGCCGAGTCGGACATGGTGCTGCTTCTCACGAGTGACGCGGCGTGCGTGTCGCTCTACCCGACCTTTTTTCCGTTGCTCAAGAAGGGGGCGACGCTCGGCCTCTCGCATGGCTACCTCCTCGGCCACCTCAACACGGTGCACGAGTCGTTCCCAAAGGACGTCAACGTCGTCATGGTCGCGCCCAAGGGCATGGGTCCGAGTGTGCGCCGCCTCTACGTCCAAGGCAAGGAAGTCAACGGCGCCGGCATCAACGCCAGCGTCGCCATCCACCAGGACGTCAACGGGCGCGCGGCCGACCACGCGCTCGGCTGGAGCGTCGCGCTCGGATCGCCGTACTCGTTCTACACGACCTTGACGGACGAGTACAAGTCCGACATTTTTGGCGAGCGCGGGATCCTCCTCGGCGGCGTCCACGGTCTCATCGAGGCGCTCTTCCGCCGCTACATGGGCCAGGGCAAGTCGCCCGAAGACGCGTTTGTCCATGCGGCCGAGTGCATCACCGGTCCGCTCAACGACATCATCTCGCACCATGGCATCAAAGCTGTCGCCGACCAGTTCTCGGGCGAGGACAAGGCGACCTTTC